GAGCATGCACTTTTGTACATCGCAAAGTTCAAATGACTTCAGTAAGTTTCTTACATATGAATTGCTGTATGGATAAAAAGAGAAATAACAATTAATACACCGAGTAAAGCAGTGAGAAAACCATCTGAGTACAGATTAGTTTTATTAACTAAGTCCCAGAGGGAAGTTGCATGCTTTACGGGATATAATAGTTCCTGAGATTTGGCTTATTATGCCTAGTTCTACAAGGAACAAAGTATTGCAGGTTTAGGACCAAAGGTTCAGTACAGAGTTTCTGCAACTCACATGAAAATACCCATGTTTTCTATTATAAGCCCATGCTTGAGCCCTCGATTTTGTCCTGATGAATTTACTAACCTGTTGGTTACATATCCAAGCAGAGGAAGACCTCAGCTTCAACCAGGCACCTAAATCTGAATCCTGTCTATGGTGTTCTCTTCTTCCCTACCTTTCTGGGAGACAGACTTCAATACCAGCTGAGAGAAAGCCCTCTTAAATATGTCTACAGTCAGATTAGGAAGAGCAACTAACAGAGAGTTGGTTAGGAGCATCCTTCTAACTCGGATTTCCATTATGACATACATCCTATTAAACAGCATAATAAAATGGTTCCACCAATGGTCCCACACCTATTGCAGGACTGTCTGCAATTCTTCACAGGCACAGAGATGAAAAAAGCCTAAAGAAAAAGCAAAACTAAGGTCAGTAAAGAGATCCAAGTATGAGGTATCTCATGGAGCATGTTCAATAGTGTAGCCAAGGATCAAGGAAGAGCCTGGCCTGTTCCACAGCTCTGGAGAACCATTTGTGCTATTTAAAAATTAAATCTCAGGCATTAGTCTAGCAAAACCACTTTTTTCTTTATAAGCCTGAGCTTTTTCAGTGATCAGTTCCAATTTCTTACAGTAGGAGATGCCTATTTTTTTCCTGTATATTGTTACTTCATTTGAGTTGATTGGAAAGCCTGTATCATTCTATAAAGTTGTGTGTGCGCATAAAGGTATATGCAAGCTGACAGCACCTTGAATCTTTATTTATAGTGCAACAATCAGCTGGAAATGGGCTGTAGAATTCAAACCCTTTATCAGAGTATGAAATACTTTTCTCAGGTCCTCTTACTTTCCTTTTGTCTATTCCTCTGTTGCTCTGCACTATAGCCTTTTATCTGAGAATAAGATAGCATTTTTTAAAACTGTGTACACATACTCATATTCGTACGTACTCTTTTTACAACTGTGTGCAGGTGGGTTGGGGAAAAGGCAGAGAAATAACACAACAGGTTTTATTTATGGAGTTTTGAGAGCAGACTCTTTAGAAACAGGGATAGGCAGTAGGGATAACCTTCCAAAATTACAGAAAAATGGTTTGGGGCAATGGCTGTCAACATCCCACATAAAAGGTTCCGAGCTGATGGAAAGTTGGAAAGCGCAGAGAAATCAGACATATGTAAGTGCTGCTTTCCTATGAGCTTAATTATCTGTGGCCCCATGTCAGTTAATAAGCTTGTTTAACAAGCCCGTTTTAGGGCTGCTGCATTTCTCAGTGCTGAATAGTTATAAGCTGCACTAAACACTTCCTTGAAAGAGATCTAGCGCTTTGGTAGCTGTAGCGGCGGTTCACTGTCAGCTGAAAATAATCAGTGAAACTCTCACAGT